TTCAGCAAGACTGAACGTGGCCTTTGGAGCACCGAGAAGCTCCACAGCACATAGCTGTGAGCTCCCAGCCCCGCGAACAGGGCTGGGAAGCACAGAAGGGACAGGGTGATACTGGAAGAGGATGCTGGAGGTGTGTACGTGTGGCAGCCTCTGGATGGAAGACACCCTTCACCTTGCCATTGCACCCCAGCTCCAATGCTCGTCACCGTGGTGGGACCATAACAGGCGTGATGAATCCTTGGACTGGAAGGATGGAGACTAGATCATCCAGGTGACAGGAAGGTGGTGTGTTTGGAGAACACCTCCCTCCCAGATTGCAGAAAGACAGCTCTGGGTCAACGTGTGCCGCTTTCCAGAAGGATCTGTTTGCCTCCACGATCTGCGGGAAAGCCAGCGGCTCGGCTGCCCTCTCCTGTGACAGACACACAGTGTGCCCTGTCATTTCCCCTTTCTCCAGGTCATGGTGTTTTCAGACGAGGAAGGGTCTTCAAAGCCATCAGCTAAGAGTAGGGATACCGTAGCTCGGCTGGGACAGCAGAACCGTGGCTGGCCTCAGAGAGCTGGCCTACAGCCCAGGCATGTGGTACTGGGTTTGGTGGGGTTTTCTTGCACGTGGTGCCCTCAAGTGCTTTGAGGGGGAAGCCCCATGCCAGGTGGGTTAGGGAACCTGCTAGCTTAATTTTTTTTTTCTTCCTAAAAACCCCTGAGGGAGGTGAAGGTCTTGAACTGTTCAGCCATCCCGTGTAAGCAGCGCTGCTGAGGAAGACCCGCTGGGGAGGCCACTCCAGCTGGTGGTGGCCAGAGGGGCAATATGGCACAGCAGCGGCAGTGGTGTAACCCAAGGCACTTTCCCACTTTGTATAAAGACATGTTGAATGATTGGGGGTTTTAGGCCCTTTTCTGTTGTTTTGGCAAATGGGGTGGGGGTGAGACCCCCTACCTTCAACCGGAGAATGGCCACAGAGGCAGGGAGGGGAGCAGGGTTAGGCCTGGTGCCCGGATCTGCGGGAGCAACTCTGAGCGCGGTGTTTCCACTTTGGGATGCTACTCCCTGTACGTCAGCTGGGGAGGAGTGATCTACTGCAGAGATGGTGAGAGAGAGCCTGGCCATGAGCCAGGGAACCTCCAGAGCCCCTCAAGCTCGGGGCAGGCTGCTTTCAGCCAGTTCAAATGAGCATTACAGAAGATTAGGCTGTAAGCCCGTTTCTGATGTAATCTCTAGCTTGGAGCCTGTCTTGTGTTCCCAGGTCTCAAATTAACGCTTGTTCACATCAGAGCCACCTTACAATGGTACCAAGGCAGCCTGTTAGGCCTGTTTTTTATTCCAAGCACTCAGCAAAACCTCTTTCATGACAAGAACAAACCTGATCCTCGCCATCTCCCGACCAAGACGGCACCAAAAACCTCCTCGAACCAGCTCTGGCTGAGCCTCAGCACGGCCTGCACAGGTAACGTGGGGATCAGCAGCACCTCAACGCACAGGGCAAAATGAACAGGTTTTAAAAACAAGCACAGCATCCTGCCAGGGATCCCATCCAGCTCCTGGGCAGAGCTGTTTGTGCAGGTCAGGAACTACAACGCACACCCTCCTTTCCCATTGCGAAAAGGGAGGATTTCTAGCCAAGGGTGTAGCCTGGCCCTGGAGTTAAACACACTCCACTCTAAGGGCTTACCAAAGAACCCATGGCTGTACCACTGCCTGTCACATCTCCCTTATCTTTGCGCTTCCAAGCGGACCACAAGAACCATTTCTGTCACCAAGCCTAGCTTAGTTGTAAGCAGTTTTGTCACAGTTACCACAGATTGCTTTTCTTCAACTTTCAGTCTCTGCAGACACTGAAGTCTTCAGGTATCAGGGAGGAGCAGGTTTTGCTATGAAGGGTAAGCTCACAACTGCTTGAATTTCAGGAAGCGTTTTAACCCAAAATCCTTCCTACCTGCTCAAACCCATTTCTGTTCAAGCAGATAACCTTTAAAAACAAACAAAAACCAACTTAAACTCCCAAGATTTTCCATAACTTATTTTATTCTGGAAGAGAAGACAGTAGGGAACCACTTTTTCCTCCTGTAGATCAGGTCCTAGTGGAAAAAAAGACAATGTCAGAGCAAAGCAACTGCAAGCTGAAAAGTTCCTGATATGCACTATTTAATTGAGAGTACAGGTCTCAGGAGACAAAAACTTGCTCCCCCTGCAAGCCAATGGCACTAGTACCCAAATCCTCTTCAGCTTTACTGGGAACTTACCAATGAAGTGGTTGCAGCAACCACGGAGCAGCGAGGAGGAGCCTGCGGCTATGCACAGGTGGCCATTTTACAGCCAGCAGCAGCCATTTGTGAGACCCACTCCAATCTTCCTTTGAGAGCTGGGAGACACCACAAAGCAATGCTGTAACAACTTTCCTAAACAAGTCTGTTCTGAAACAATTCCTGCCCCTCTCTGTTCCCAAATCACCAAATAGCTTCTGCTTTTCCTATTTATCAGCAGGCTGCCTCTTCACTTTTTCCCCTTACTCCCTGGAAGCCAAAAGCCCCACATGCTCTTCCCAGCGCCTGGTCTGACTTGGAACACAGCAGTACTGACAGAGCACCCAATCTGACTGCTGGCTTGTACATTCCCTCCTCTTTACATACCAACCTTAATTTAAGGAAGTCCACTGTCGTCAAGTCTGTCGGTTCAGCTTGTCAGTGAACGTTATTGATCTTCTACAAACAAATACAAATTCTGTTAAATAAAGCATGAAACGATTTAGCCGAAGGCAGCTGTCAGCTACCGAGAGACAAAGTGCTGTTACAGCGTGTGTATTCAGTGACTGTACATCAGGCGAGATAAAAACGCCTTTCTTATCTGCTCTTCAACCTGCTGCTGTGCCTCGCTGTTTGGATAAGCAACTTAAAAGCTCTTCGTAGATCCAAACTGTGCTATGACAACAGCAGCCAGTGCTGATACTCCCTGTACCTTGCTGTATCTGGGCTCTGGACAGCTGGCTGCTGAACAGCCCGTGCATATGGGACAGCACTTGTGCTGCAGTCGCACATCGCAAGGGCAGGAGACCTGCTACGGGGGAATACATAAGCCTCAGTGGACAGTTGTTTTTCCCTCACAGCTGAGTTGTCAGACAGGGATAACAGCACATCACAGGCTCGGTTTCTCTCCTGCCCTTGGCTATATAAACTGCTCAAGTTCTACACAATTACATACAGCAAAGACACCCAGACGCTAACATGCTGATGACCAGTGTTCTTCCTGATGACTAGTATTTTTCCTGGTAAGTATTCAAAGACTAGGTATTCTGCTCAGCAGATGAGTCATGCTGCCTACAGATCTGACATCCAATTAATAAATTCAGAAGAAGCAGCATGCAATAATGAAGCATTCTCTTAGCAGCCTGATGGCCAACTTAGCAGCTGCCCTCTTGCCAAAGCTGACTTTGGGAGAAGGTAACGGCCCCAGGGTTCTGCAGGAAGATTTCCTCCTAAATACAAGTTGCATTGACCACCGTTAGCAACAACACTTCAAATAAAGTTTTTCCTTCACTCATTTCTTCTCCACCCCTTCTGACAAAAACCAGCACTGGATCACAGAGCAAGAACTGGAGAGAAGTTTGCCATTCAGAGAGAGGCAATTTTTGTCTCACAAACTTAGCAGAGCAGAAACCTGTCCCTCAGAGACAAAGGAGCATGTCTGCCAGTGAGTTGTCTCACTTGGAGACAAGAAACTTTGGGAGGTGGATGCTATTTAAATCCTTGCTTAGGAAAAAAACCCCACCAGCCCTGAAACTTTGGTAGTTTAGACCCTTTTTAGCCATTTTAAGCAGACATCCTCCTCATCATCATACAGAAACATTTTAACTCCTTCCTTGCATGCAAGAATAATCCATTCATCCAGAATGTAAACAGTCTATGGGTTTATCTTGAGAAATGCATTCAAGCAGATCTAAGACAGACACATACCTTCAGGGTGTGTCCTTTCCAGGATGACCCTTTGGTGCATGTGAACTGCACCTCCCCACCCCCCAGCAACCTGATGCAAGTTTGAAACTGTCTCAGTGCACCTCCAGGTAGGCAAACAGAAGAATTATTCTTTCACTAAGTCTACTTCTGTGACAAATACAGTTATGAGATGAGCTGTGTCAAGTGTCCCCATGATGGGCTGTCATCCAATCCCTCCTACTTCTAATCCCTTCTACTCTTGCTCATCTTTGACCATGCTGACAAGCAGGTGCCCTACTGGGCACCAGCAACACTAAAATTCCCATTCACTCTGTGTTGCCTTTCAATTTGTACTCCATGGCAGCAAAGGGCTGCACACTCAGGTGGCAGCTGCAACAAAGCTACAGCCTTGATTGGCTTAATTATATTAATCAAGCCACTGAGCTTTTACATCTCCTCCCAGTAGCCCCAGGGACATAGAAGGGTATCATCTAACAGAGCAGAATGAATCTCACTTCCATAGCCCAGCAACAGGAAAAAACTGGACCAGGACAAGACAGATGCTGATGTTTCTCATCATTGTGCAGGTTTACTGTCAGTTCAGGGAAGGAATCAGCTTCCCAGGCAGGTGAGTGTTTTTATTCTTGCTTGATAACATGCCGTGCTCTGAAACAGAGGAAAGGGACAGAGTTAGTCCATGAAACAGATGGTTCTTTTTACCTTTGCATCTTTAATGCTGAGCCTCAGAATCATGCTTCCACAGAGGAAAGATTAATTTCAGACAGGGATAACTTTATCATCACTAGCTCAGCTTCGGGAGCAGCCACGCCTGGGCCATGCAGAGCCATCCCAAGAGCTCAAGC